CTTTTTCGACATCTCAACTTCCAAAAGTGCTCCGAGACCGCCAGTTTTTAACACTTTTGACTTCGAAATGTGCTTCGCGCCACAACGGCGTGCACTTTTTCGACATCTCAACTTCCAAAAGTGCTCCGAGACAACACTTTTGACTTCGAAATGTGCTTCGCGCCACAACGCCGTGCACTTTTTTAACATCTCAACTTCCAAAAGTGCTCTGAACCCCTCAGTTTTTAACACATTTTACTTCCAAATGTGCTTCGCGCCACAACGGCGTGCACTTTTTCGTCATCTCAACTTCCAAAAGTGCTCCGAGACGGCCAGTTTTTAACACTTTTTACTTCCAAATGTGCTTCGCGCAACAACGCCGTGCACTTTTTCGTCATCTCAACTTCCAAAAGTGCTCCGAACCCCTCAGTTTTTAACACATTTTAATGTCAAGTCAGGATTAATCAACAGCCCGTTATTAATCAACCTCCTCCTCCCCCAAAAAAAATGCAATTTAAAAACAGGTGGTCCCCCAGTATTAATAAACACCCCCGATTAAAAAACCTCCAGTTCTGAAATCCATTTTTTATCCAACAATTTTTATTTCCAATTCTATTTATTTCCATTTATTTTTTACATTTTTTTATCATCATTGTTATACTTAAGGTTTTAGTTGATCATTGAAAATTTCAAAAAAACAACTATGCCCCAAATGATCGATTTTTAATTAAAATCTTGATAAAAATCATCAGTTTGGATAGCTCCCAAAGGGTACCCCCCATGAGCCCATGTCCCCCATTAATAATAACCACGGTTTACTCCTGATTAATCAACCACCTTTCTGATCCATGAGATTTTAACAAATCCAATGGAATTCTATTAAGATCTAATTGACGTAAGCCATATCCAAAGTTTTATGGTTCAGAGTTGCTTCTTATTAAGGGGTGTTTAAGAAAATGACCTACAAGGTACAGTTCCGACCTTCTGGGGGGGGGGTTGATTAATCCTGACTTGGCATTACTTCCAAATGTGCTTCGCGCCACAACGCCGTGCACTTTTTCAACATCTCAACTTCCAAAAGTGCTCCGAACCCCTCAGTTTTTAACACATTTTACTTCCAAATCTGCTTCGCGCCACAATGCCGTGCACTTTTTCAACATCTCAACTTCCAAAGGGGGTCCGACGCTGAGAAATCGGCTTCGCGCCACAACGGCGTGCAACTTTTCATCTCTCATCTCCCCAGATGTCTCCGCACCCGCCGCTTTAGCGAGCCTACTTTTCAACCCTCCGGAGCCACAAAACCACGAAAAAAAACACAGTGTTTCGCGACTTTCCTACCTTTTCGCGCACCTGCATCTTCTTTCTTCTGATCTTTTCTCTTCTGACTCTTCTCCCTGCTGACTGCTTTTTCATCTCTCCATATTGTCGGAAGTTTGACTTCTAAACTTCCTTCGATTATCATCACGATTATTTCATTATTATCATTATTATACATGCACCTACATAGGATTATATATATATATACATACATCGACATGTTTTATCTGCATCAACACAACAATGTATATCATATCCAACACCATTTGAGAAAGAGATGAAAAAATGATGCAGTTGCACATATGCTAAATCATGATTGACTCACACCAGCAGAGTTGCATTGTTGAAATGCATGGCCACATATTTATGGCCATTCATCTTTCATCTATTATCCTTTGGCATGTGGATTGTAAATGCATCATATCAACATATTCAGAATTCAGATATATTCAGATGATTTCAGATGCAGTTTGTTTAGAATGTCAGGAGCAGAAACGGTCAGAAACGGTCAGAAACGGTCAGAAACGCCCCTCATCGACCCCGATCTAAATCGCCAGGCAACTGCATCGGCTATGACCCCGTAGGATGAGAAGTAGTCTCTCAGCTTTTGGGTTGTCACATCCTACACAAACTACACAAACTTTTTGCTTCCAGAAATATCCAGAAATATCCAGAATGTGTAGTGTCCATCAAAATTTGTCAAACACAGTAGTCCAGCATCGTCCTGTGGAAGTCCACCAATGAAGATCTTGTTGGAAGGTTTCTCCTGAAGATCCAAGCAGGAGAATTCACATTCAGCATGGATCGCAGAGGCATTTAGAGCACCTCTCTCTCCTCCAATTGCTCTTCTTTGGACCCCTTCTCCAACCCTTCTCCAAACCTTCTTCAAACCTTCTTCAAACCTTTCCCGAAGCCTTTTAACACTTCATCCTACCTAGACTCTTCACTCTCTTCATAGCCCTGGGACAAGACCTCGACTCGACGGCTAGCACCGCACCGCCAGGACACCACACACCCAAACAGCACCCTGGAACAGCTAAGCGCAGGGATGCCATTCCACTTACACAATGATTCCTTTGCTATATGGATTCGTTCGCTTGCACATAGATGCCGCACATACTACGTACATTTGCGTACATACATACATACCATACCATACCATTACAAACCATGACATGCCAGGACCATTACATACCATTACATACCATTACATACCATTACATACCATTACATTCCATTACATACCATTGCATTACATTACATTACATACCATTACATTACATTACATTACATTACATTACATACATACACTACATCGTGTATATGTACATACACATATAATGTGTATCTATATATATACATATGCATAAATATGTATATATAATATATGATTATGTATATTATATATATATGTATGTAATTGTATGTATGTATATACACACAACAATTCTTTACATGACTACTGTACATGCATATGTTTGCAGCATCCAGCAAACAAGTCGCTTAAATTCTCTCCTGGGCCCGCTCTCCAGGCACGGCTCTCTTCACCTCAAACGCAAAAATCTAGGTGACCCGGTCTCGCCAACAAAATCAAAAAAGTGTCTATCTGCCAGTCTCCCTACTGGAACAAACTGCCAGAAACTGCCAGAAACCTCTTCAATATCTAAGCATGCATCGAAAGACACCAAAAGAAACTGCAAAGCATGGCAGTCGCACGTCCACGAAGCGGCCATCTATCCATTGGGGCTCAGTCAGCGCTTGCGCCTGGTCAAAGACTGCTTTTCACTTTGACAATCTGAGTTCAAACCATGACATCTTTTTGAACTTTTTGGCGTTTGGCTATGAAGTTGAAGTCCCTGCATCCGTTAGACCAGATCTTTGCTTTGTCACTCATATATCTCATATTGCTAAACTCCAGCACCGCTGTAGGCTGAAGAATAGATAGAAAAGAATTCAGAAATGGGTCATGTGGACTTGACAGTACACTATGTGTTCTGGCTCCATTGGAGAGCGAGACTGACTCAGCTCCCAACCGCTGCAAGCTCGGAGACAAAGGTTACGAATCCGAAGCCTTCAAATAGTCTTCAAATGATATCACAGGGGAAGCACCAGGACCAAAATGGAACTCCACCTAGCAATCAGCGAGTTGCATGAATTTCTTCCAAGCTGCCCCTAGGCCGGCCATCTTTTACCATAACGACCTCAAAACACGCATCCGGTGAGGGGGAACACAAATACGCACAAAACCACACAAAACCAAGGTTTCACCACCCACACTGTTCGAATACTCGGAACGTCGATCACTCACGTCACCACAAATTCTCCAAGGGCAGCACAGCATCGCTAAGATGTCCATATTTAGAGAAGTGCTGGCACAAAACCTCGAAGTACTTGCAAAATGCGTCAAAATGCGTCAAAATGCGTCAACTGGCCCACTCTTAAAGCCCTGTGTGACATAAGTGTTTGCATGTTAACGTTTAGCAGTTTAGCATTCTCCAGAGCTATGCGACCTCGGTGGTGGTGTGGGTGGAGATACCACCCACAAAAAGCTTGAAGGGCGGGGCTGCCGCTCCTTGCAGGAAGCATGACATGGGAAGCAAGTGATATGCGCGGCAAGGTAAACACAGACATACCGGGCCTTGAGCTAAATCCTGAGCCTCCCAGCAGCATCCAGCAAGGGTTTTGGAACGCAGATCATGTTAGAATGAGCTAAAAAAATCTCAAACGCCAATTTCCGAACACGAACCATTCAAGAAAAGTTGAGTCCATGCTCTTAGAGGATGCGCAGGGATCTTGGAGGGTTCTAGCAAAGAAATCGACCAAGCAGACGGAAGCAGACCATTTTGTCAACGCGGATGGTTCAGTGATCCTAGAGATCAGGTGACTATCCGCCAAGTCCCATGGCACGGAAAATCTTTCTCCAACAGTCGAGTTTGCGAAAATCATTTTGAATCAGCCAAGTTGGGGCTTGAGCGGCTTTCTTTCGAGTGGTGAACTCTCTCCTCTTTCAAAAAATGATGGGAGCCAACGTTTTGCCATGTTTTGCCAACAAGACTGCAGTTTCGGCAGCTTCAGAGTCTGGCAGCAGGTCTCACTGGCCCAGCATCGAATGAAGCTCGTAGTGGTAGTGAGCAGCCACATACGTTCGAACTGGTACAATGGACATCAATGGACCATGCGGGATGCTCAAACCAAAAAAAATCAAATTACATCACTGTGTCACTGTATAAATCCTGTTTGACAGGCTAAACAACCTGAAAAGCACAACAACTAGGCGCTTGTTTTCTTGAGCCATGCATACGGTAAAGTAAGGGTGAACATGTGACTATATACAATGATATGTACAAACAACACCCCCCGCCGCCCCGAAGTTTGACGGAGAGCGGAGAGTTGAAGTCCGCCAGAGGTGACCTGAGAGCGGACATTCTGAAAGACATCACTGTGCACTAATTATGTTCATTTACAACGTATGCTTGTGGTCTGAGCTCAACGGATGCATGAGGCAAAAATTAATTGGGTGCTTTCGTTTTGGATCCGGGCATAGCACATGTCGAACAAAGCAAAAGTGACATTGGCCTGGCTTCCGCCAAGGCATGGGAACATTACCACTCCACTAACTGCCAAGGAAATTGGAAGCTACTGTAGCAGGCTAATGTACACGGTTATAGTACAAGTGCAACTACCGCAATGGATCGGATGCTGGTGTCAAACTCTCTTGAATCAATTGGGAAAAGTTTTTCAAGTTTATCAAGTAGAAAATTCATTTTTGAGTTGAATGGACATCGATTGAACTGAGTGACCATGGGTCATTTTCATCCAATCGGCCAAACCTTCCGGCAGGCGTAAAGTCTTGCCACTGCAAAGTGAAACACCTACCATGATTCATACTCAATGGTCCCGTCAGCAAGCAAGCGTTTGTAGTGCGGCCGGCCGTTGATCTCGCAGTACTCCTCGGAGATGATCGGAGACCTCATCGGAGTTTGCTGCGCGCCTCCTGCAGATCCACTGGCTTCCTGGGTAGAAGTGTCCGCAGTGGGTGCTGAATCGGGCACCGGCGTTGCTGTTGATGGCGGGCGCACTGGCTCTGGAGGTGCTGCTGAGGAACTTGACCCAGTAGATCTTCCCCAGTCATCAGCCCCCCAACCCTTGCCAGAGTAGCCCTGTCTCCAATTCCAGCTCTGCCATTGGGCCTGCCCTCCCGAGCGGCTTGAATAAGATCCATATGAATCCCATCCTTGCCTTCGGTTCCATCCACTGCGACATTCGAAGGACTTGTGGCCATATTGACCGCACTTCCAGCACTCAACAGCCTGCTGAAAGATTGGTCGTTGAAGTCCATAGCCCTTCCCCTTTGCCGGCCTTTGGATCGGGTCAAAATGACCCCTGTATCCCTCTCGTCCTTCTCCCGTACCCGTCTTTGTCGTTCTTGCCAAAGGGAACTCTGCCACGTCAGATGCTGTGGCCTCTTCCACCATGGAATGCTCCTCGCCTTTGATGTTGTGAAACTGCTCGTTCCATTGACGTTTTGCAAAGTCGACCAAGTCGAAAAAGCAGTCCTGAGCAGATTGTTGGTCAATAGGCATCATCGAACCTGACCATCCAAACAACGTCGGCGTGGGTTCCCCCCTCGCTTTCAGCAAGTCTGCGGCAAGCACGGCAAACTGAGGAAGTGTGAAGACTCGAGCATGATGAGCCACCATTGCTTCTTTTGTGACATCCAGCGGGAGCCGGATATCTCTGTTGAAGTCTGGCATGAAAATCAATCGAGTGCTGACACCTGTTCCCAGTTGCTTTTCTCGCTTTTCTCGGGTACGGCCGAAGTCAGGGGCAATGCATTTCGCTAAGTCCTCCAAGAACTGGCAACAGTCCGGGGTGATCTGGCCAACCGCGTTGTTGAAGAGATAGAATGGATCCTTCTCCATGCGGTCCTGGATCGACTTGTACCCCAGCTTCGAGTATCTTCCCGCATGGGTCTGAGCAGCGTCCTTGAGATTTCCGAAGTTACTTCGTCCTGCTCGACGTTGGTCTGCTCTTGTGCGGTCCGACACTCTCTGAGCCCGAGGCTGCTTCTCGAAGTCGATCTTGTCCAGGGAAAACACCTTGTTTGTTTTCTTGGCCGTGATTTCCATCCGGCATACTTCTGTTGCGATCCTCCCATCCAACCATGCAATCAACCATTTGAAGCACAATTGGCACTTGTGCGTACCTTCAATGTTCTTCTCACCGCAGAAGTGGCACTTGACCTGCTGCATCTCAATTTTTGTGCTGTAGATGTAATCTTCAGCATTGGTTGAGCGCTGGGCCTGCCCTCCCGGGCGGCTTCCCTTTCCCCTGCCTTTTCCGCGGCCTTTGCCTTTGCGGATTGTTTCAGCATTCGGCAGGGCACCAAAGGAAGCCATCTTCAACGTCACCTTGTCTTCAAAGGGTCCAGAAGGGCCTTCTCGTCGACGAAGAAGTGGTGGAAGTTCTTCTGGGGTGTTGCTCATCTGCATGTCGCCAGGATGGATGGATCTGCCGCTCATGAGGTAGGACTTCAAGCTGGCCTGCGCATTGGCATATGCGCTCTTCGTGAGGGCTTCTCTCTTCGGAGTGTCCTTGTCCTTGTGGTCCTTCATCTGCTTGTTGTAGCCCACTCTGGTGATCTCGTAGGGTCGATTGACCCAGGCGAACTCTCTATTCACAGCATCATATGTGCAGATGATGTTCTCGTTGGAGATCCAGTCAGGACTGATGATCGCTTCGTCAGTCTTGAACAATCGACAGCCGCTTTGAACGATGAGCTCCGTATCAAAAGCAATGTAGTACTGCTTTCCGGCTCGCGTTCCCGCAAGCTTTTTCCCTCCAACTGAGTCATCCCACGGATGCGACGCAATGAAAAAGTTGTGCGCCCTCCCAGTCCTCTGAGGCCAGCCACCTGGGATCAACCCGTGCTCGACAATCTTCTCCATTGCCAGGCGATCACAACTGTAGTAAATCACCCTTGGGAGAGCCGCCAACAACTCGGGCACCAGATCTGGCCGCAAATTTGTCCTGGGCAACTTGCCGGTGTCGAGGTCTTCCTTCACGAAGGTCGGGTCCAATGTGAAGACTTGCTTCACCGGCGAAGAAATCTTGGCATTCTCCACCACGGCACGATTGTGTCCTTGGACCGCCCTGATTGCAATGACCTTCCACGGCAAACCCTTCCAGGTTGCATCAGGTAAATCTGGCTGAGCCACCTTCACCTGAAAACGTCTGGTGTCGCTGTTGCGCACAATGGACAAAACCTCACGGACCTTCGGGTAGGAGACATAGTGGGCCAGCGTCCTCATGACAGCTTCGAAGTCCATGGACATGTCCATGGGATCGATGTCCGGACTGCGAGCGCCGTAGCTGAGGGCATGGCCTCTCAGTACGTAAGACATCTTTGTAGAAAGAAATCTCATCCGCCCCTGGCCACAGTACTCCTTGGGGATCCTGTTGGCCATGTCGTCGGGGTCCAACCACACTGCTCCTTCTTGGCGTTCTGTTGCTTCTTCAAGCTTCCGAAGGGCGGCATCAGCTTCTACGCTGAGTCGAGGCGCTTTCTGTCTGGGCATCGCCTTCGACTCTGGCGCCTTTTGCTTTTCGCTCTTCGGCATCTTCTTCTCGGCCGGCTTTCCAACTGGCTTGTCAACCTCCACCTTCTTCTCGGTCTTGGTCAGGTCGACAATCTCAGTTTTGTCAGCGGGCTGTTCAGAGGAAGCAGTCGCAGCAGCAGTCGGCACACCCTCCCGGGCAGCGTCATCATCCCTCTTCTCCCCGGCGTCAACGTCCATGGGGGTTGCCTCGGATCCACCAACCTCAGTCCAAGTTGAAATCCTGGAAGATGTCATGTCGCTGGGCTTGGAGTCATCATCATCACCAACCACACTCCATGTCGAAATTCTTGATGACTTCATCTTGTCCTCCCCTTCGTCGGCCTTGGCAGATGCTTCTTTTGCGGCAGCGTAGACAATTTCGCTGGCCGTCGTTCCCGATGGCTTTGCCTCAGTGGATGTGATCTCAACGATCTTGTTGAGATCTTCAACCTCTTTGGCTCTTTCCTCCGAGATGGCATCTTCTTTGACCTTTTCGTCATAGGGGTTGACAATGACCTTGTCATCAGCAATCACGTCCCACTCGTCGAACTCAGGCACAACCTCAACATCGTCCTCAACGTCAGTGTTCTCCGGGTTGACCTCGATTGACTCAATGGTCGTGGTTGAGAAACCATCTGCAACGGCCTGGTTCAAATCTTCTTGAAGATAATGCCTGGCTCGCACTTCTTCGGTTTCATAGTCCTCGACAGTTGGGTCAACGGGCACAATGGAGCTGACCTCTTCATCAGTGAAAGCAGTGGGCTGCGGCCGTCCCTCCCGGGTGGCTTCCTCGTTGGCTTCAAGAATTCCTGCATGGACCCACATGAGGATTTCCTCATCTGCCTCGTCAAAGACCTGGGCAGGGGTTGCCGTTTTCTTCTCTGTGGAGACGGCCTCCATGACCTCTTGAGTGCCGAGTAAAGCCAAACGGAACTGAACCATCGTTGGGAAGAGATGGACCGCGGCCACACGGTCTTGTTCGCTACTGATGA